GCTTCTTGCCTCAAGTTAATACATTTTATAATTGTGCAAATTTCAAGGATATTTAATTCTTAAAGAACCCATAAAAATAAGGAAATAATAAATAATATAAATGTCAAAGAAGGCCAAAGTCTTGAACCTTATCGTATACCAGTTTTATTGTGCACCACAGTTACCTCTACAGCTGTTTGAATCAACACAGCCATTTCAATCTGATTTCTGACATAGCTGCATCAAATATTAGCCAAAGGGCCAACATAGAGACAGTTGGTATTGAAACCAGAAAATAAAATCACCTGGGTAAAGTACAGGCAAAGGCACGTGATCAATATCTGCTTAGACAGAGCAGAAGGTAAGGAAAGTAAGCAATGACCTGAACCTTAAAGAGCTGAAGGAGAGAAAAAAGAAAGCATAGATATTTTTAATAGCATTGGGAACTATCACCATATACTAGACATTTGGTTAGACTATATTTATATTCAGATAGCCCTGCTTCCAAAATCAGTTTGTTCTACTTTTTATATGAACTTAAAAGTATATATTTATATATGGAGCTTCATGATGAACAGGAAATACTAAAATAGAAGAATTACTCTGAGGATAAGTGATTGAATTTGCAAGGTCCTAATCAGTCTGAAAAAAGATAAAACTCCTACTAGCCATGGTTATAATAGATAATGATCCAATGTATTTGTTTTCCGAGCACAGCATCTTATGTAAAAAAGAAAAAATACTTAAATGTTTTGATAGTAAATTAATTTTCTTGATAAAATGCCTTAAGTTGTTTAAAGTTTATTTACTTTTTTCATGTGTATGAAAGATAGAGTGAGAGAGGGAGACAGACAGATGCCCTCGACCAGATTTCACTATCATAGCTGTGATCCTTCCCCAGGCTCCAACTTTCCAACTTGTCTAGATCATGGGCACATCTGTGGGCACAATAAGTGTGTTCAGCCCCACCTGCAATTAGAACTCAGGGCCTCCCATAAGACTCTAGTATTGTTCAGTAAACCTTACCTCAGTACCAGCACCTGTGTCACTCAGGATGGGCCAAATATCTTTAAAATTTTTACTAACAAGAATTAAGATTCAGGGATGCTTTATCTTAATCATGTCTTAGATTTTTTAAAAGAATTATTTTATTTAACTTTATTTATTTTAATTCGATGAGAGAGGGAAAGAAAGAGAGAGAAAATGAGAAAGCAGCTTCATGATGAACAGGAAATACTAAAATAGAAGAATTACTCTGAGGATAAGTGATTGAATTTGCAAGGTCCTAATCAGTCTGAAAAAAGATAAAACTCCTACTAGCCATGGTTATAATAGATAATGATCCAATGTATTTGTTTTCCGAGCACAGCATCTTATGTAAAAAAGAAAAAATACTTAAATGTTTTGATAGTAAATTAATTTTCTTGATAAAATGCCTTAAGTTGTTTAAAGTTTATTTACTTTTTTCATGTGTATGAAAGATAGAGTGAGAGAGGGAGACAGACAGATGCCCTCGACCAGATTTCACTATCATAGCTGTGATCCTTCCCCAGGCTCCAACTTTCCAACTTGCCTAGATCATGGGCACATCTGTGGGCACAATAAGTGTGTTCAGCCCCACCTGCAATTAGAACTCAGGGCCTCCCATAAGACTCTAGTATTGTTTAGTAAACCTTACCTCAGTACCAGCACCTGTGTCACTCAGGATGGGCCAAATATCTTTAAAATTTTTACTAACAAGAATTAAGATTCAGGGATGCTTTATCTTAATCATGTCTTAGATTTTTTAAAAGAATTATTTTATTTAACTTTATTTATTTTAATTCGATGAGAGAGGGAAAGAAAGAGAGAGAAAATGAGAAAGCAAGCTGCCAAGTCCAGAACTCAAACCACAGTTGCCATGTGGGAGTTCAATGCCCTTAAGCACCACGCCATCTGCTGACCCCTTTAGATTCTTTATGTACATAATTTTATTTAATTCTCAGAACATCACTATGAGGTAGGTACTACTATTAACTCTGTTTTGTAAATTAGGATGAGAGAAATAACTAGTATGGATAGAACTGCAATTCAAACCTGGATGTGTCTCATTCCCCTGCTGAATGACAAGTGCTACCTTAAAGTGCTTGTATTATTATTATTTTTTGATTCCCTATAACTGATTTGACATAACTGGGTTTTTCCCTGGTGCTGCTCCAAAGTTCTTTCAATAACATGAAACCATAACATCATCTCACTAGCCCTTTATTTTCAAATTAAAAATGTCTTTGATTCCAGTCTATTGGAATCCTTGTTATCCATAAACTGAATTTAGGACTGGGATCTCTGTCTCCCAATTCCTTTTCTAGGCAGATAAGCTTCATCCTTCTGTCAAATGAATTTCTCTATTTCCAAGCTGTATCCAAGGTAGAGTGTTATCATTTTGTCTAACTGTGCATAAACAACTAGGATGATTTCTGAGAAGAACCACAGCTGAGTGAAGAGAATGGTGCCAGTGTCAAGGATGACCAAAAGGAGCTTTTGAAAGTTTCATAGCTTCTTCAAATTTAAGTTTAATTTTCCTCTTGGATAGTTCACAAAAGTTCCCATTTCCCATTGCAGCAATTTCAATTTATTTTTTATTTACCTCTAAGTCCCTCTTTTATTAAAAATTTGGAGCCTCCACTGAAACCACCTTATTACACTCTTCTTTGAGTCGCTATTATTAAAGCACTCATGTTTCAGACATATTTGAGGAGATAAAGCCTTATCATAAGACGATATTATGTTCTGGCTCTATTTCACTTACCATTTAATCACAGAAGTAAACAAAAATGAGTAAAGACAGGAACTTTCTCAACCTCAGTGGCCAACATCTGCTAGCCAAGACTTTTATCTATAGACTACAGATCTCTTGAGCAGTCTTCTGAGCTTTGCTCTCATAGGACACCAATTTCTATAGCTCTGCTACCATTTGTAAACAAGCAGTTCCTCTGAAAATTGTCCTAGGAATTTTCAGAAGGGAGTCTGGATTCAAAGCATAGCTTTAACTCATTTGTTCTTGTAAGGTTATGACCAGGTCAGACTGGGATGGATCTAAAGTATTGGAGACCTGAGCAAGCATATCAAACAGAGCCCATCTCTGCTTGATAGGGAAAGGAATGAAGCTACAATGAAATAATTTAATCATAAATTAATTGATATATTATTTTAGGCTCATGTTTATTTGTTTCTTCTTTTCTTAGAGTAAAAATTGTATTTTTAGGGACCAGCAGATGTAATGATTATGTCACTTGACTCCCACATTGTTTGAGTCCAGGACCAAGTTGCTTAAAATTCATACCAGATGCATGGACATGTGTGCCCAAGATCCCAGAAGGAGAGTGGAGAAGAAGGATTGTGGTGTGGCCATCCCCCTGGGGGGGTGATCTCTTGCTTTCTCTCTCTCTCTGTTTCTGGTGAGCAAACACGCCCTATAGCAAAATATCTTTAAAAAATTAAAAATAAAAGATATTTTTCTTTTTTATTAAAATATAATTAATATAAAGTAAGATATAGAAACCCAAAGTGTACTACTTAATAGATTTTTATCTACATAAACAAACAAATAATATTTAATCATAAGGATCTCCAGATTTGATTGTGGATTTATTTTCTTCTGTTAAGTTCTGTTACTTGCTTCATTGTGTGTTTTCAAAATTTCCTATTAACATGTATACACATCAGAACTACTATGGCTTCTTCATGAATTGCCCTTTTTCTCATTATAGAATCTCTCCTGTCTCTCGCTCTTTCATTTTAGTTTTCTACAGGTTGCATATGTGAGGGAAGAAAGAGAGAGAGAGAGGGAGAGAAATTGGGAGTAATACAAGCCACAGCCCCTGCTCCTCCATTCTCCTCTTGGGATTTTAGGCGTGCATATCCATGTGCACAGAGTGTTTCTCAGCCTGCTGGGTCCAAGACTTGAACCATGTGGTCAGCTATGTAGGATCAAGCTGCCTTAATCACCACACCATGAGCTAGCCCACAAAATACTTCTTTTATTCCTTTGGTGATATGCCGGGACTTCAAAACATTAATGGAAATGTGTAGTATGAAAAAACTATGCATGGATTTAAATTTTTCTTGGAATCAAAATAAACTTGTAGATAAAAACGCCCTTCGAGCAGTCTTCTCAGCTTTGTTCTCATACAACAATTTCCATAGCTCTGTCACCCTTTGTAAACAAATGATTTTCCTGAAAATTGTCCCAGAAACTTCCAGAAGGGAGCTTGGTATCAAAGCACAGTTTTAACTCATTTGTCCTGTAAGGTTACGACCAGGTCAGACTGGGATGGACCTAAGGTTTTGGAGATTGTAATTCCATTTTCTACACATTTTTTTGAAGTCCCTTATGTGTCTTGCTGTAAATCCCAAATATTCTGGTACTAATATGGTCACATTAACTATATTTATTTGGATGCATTACATATTTTTTCTATTCCTTTACTCTCAATCTATGTGTCTTTATATTTGAAGTGTAATTTTTGTATGTTTATTCATTCAGTGACAAATTCTTCTCTATAACTGAGGTCTCTTACTAATTTACATTTACTATTTGTACTGTTACATTTGCTGTTTGACTGTCATTGTTTTCTTTATTTTTTCCCTTTTTCACATGTTTCTCATTTTTTTTTATATATTATTACTTTTACTTCTTTTGAGGTTCTTTTCTGTTTGCTTTTAGGTTTTTGCCATAGGGGAGTCCCTCTGGACTTGAACTGGTAACCCTTCCATGTGTGACTGCCTCACAAAACATCATGTTATAATTCTGTGGCACTACCTAACTCCTCACAATTCAAGTAATATTGCATAAATCCCCCACATGCTTCCCTCAATGTTTGTGTAAGACCTACAGTCACAGACTTCTGGGTAAATATAGCAACCATCCTGATTTCAAGGGTGAGTAAGAAAATAATGAATCACTGAAAATATTTCACTTAGAAAGATATTATATTTTTTCTCCAACCCTGTTTGACCCTGACCTACTCTTTCATATACGTTTATTTTATACCCAATTTACCCAGAACCTTTTCACGAATCTGCCGTGTCTTCACACAATATACAATGGGGTTCATCAGAGGTGGCACTAGCAAGAAAACATCAGCAATGAGGATCATGGCCATTGGAGACTTGTGCTTGCCAAAGCGGTGCATGGATGCCAAAGCAATGATGGGCACGTAGAAGATGAGCACAGCGCAGATGTGGGAGACACAGGTGTTGAGGGCCTTGAGTCGCTCTTTATGGGAACCGATTCCCATCACAGTCCTCAGAATGAACACGTAGGACACTGCAATGAACACACTGTCTGACATCATACACAGAGCAACGAAGAAACCATAGAAAAAGTTGACTGTGTTGTCAGAGCAGGCCAGCTTCATGACATCCTGATGGAGACAATAGGAGTGAGAAAGTAGGCTCTTCCTACAATAGATCAGTCTTTTCAGGGTGAAAGGAAACGGAAGCACTAAGAGCATGCTTTTAAGAAGAAACACCAGCCCCATTTTGGCAACTCTAGCACTGGTGAGGATAGAGCTATACCTTAGAGGGTTGCGTATGGCCAAAAAGCGGTCAAAAGACATGACCAAAAGTACTGAGGACTCCATGTCTGTGAATCCATGAATAAAGAATTCTTGAGCAAAACAGGCATTTGGGGAGATTCCAGTGGCATTGAACAAGAAGATCCTCAGCATAGTTGGAAGAGAGGAGAGAGAGAGACCCAGATCAGAGATAGCTAACATGGAAAGGAAATAGTACATGGGTGCATGGAGTGAGGGTTCAGTCCTTATCACAAAGAGAATGGTGCAATTGCCCAGGATGGCCACCAGGTACATGAGGCAGATGGGAATGGATATCCATGCATGAAAATGTTCAAAGCCTGGGATTCCAATCAGAAAGAAGGTGGTGATCTCCATTTCAGAGGAATTAGGATGGTACATGATGAGTTAGTTGGAAAGTATTAATTCAGAGATCTGAAGTGACACTTCCAGCAGGGTTTTGTTGTGCTTATCTCCCTCCTTTAAATTCATTTGAGGAATAAACAAGGAAAATACAATTTTGAAAGAAAAGAACTAAGTATTTTTTCTAAACAGAGAGTAATAGAGTCAGATAAGCTTACTTGACCAGGAGAACCATTAATATAGATGCATTCTTGATCAGTTACATCTGTAAATCAACAGAAATAAAATGTAATTAAAAAAAGAGAAAAAGTTAAAGTAGTCTCTTGCAAATAAATTTTCCTTGTACT